AGTCCCTAAGCTCACAGATTACTTTAATGAATGTACTTACTTGTTTAAAACAGCAACTACAGGGTGTCCCTTTTTCGTGTGTTTTACAGTGTTTCTCTTTTTTGAGTAGGGGTACATAGATGCAGTTTTCTCATCACTGTGTTATTTTTTTATGAAACTAAATATATTGCACACTGATTTGTCCTAGTCCTCTTAGTTCCGGAAATACAGGGTGAATTTGAAATTGTGTGACGTAACTAGTTTTTCGCTGGGAGCTGTCGTTTTCGAAATATGACTCAAATTTGATGTGTGTGCCAAGAAACAATAATAATATGACTTTTCAATAACAGTTACAGTACGTCTGTCCGTTCTGCGGCTACGGGGTATCCGTGAGAGGGGAAACGATATTATCTCGATGTTTTTCGTAAAAAATTAGACGACGCGTCCCATCAATAAAAATTCGACAAATTTGCAAGTAGCCAATAAAATGAGTGGGCGGAGCGATTTGCGGTGACGTACTCGACAAGTCGACATATAAAATATATTGCTGTTTATTTAAATGTTTTTTGTCCGCATTCCTTTCATAGACAGAGATCCAGCAGACGAACTGTACATTAGAAAAACAATAAACTCAATTTCATAGATGTATCGATAGATAAGTATACATGTAGAAAATAATGAAATGAAATAAAATAGGTAGTAAATCTAAAAAACCTGTATAATTTATTGCGTTAATTTCAGTACCGTTATGTAGTTAAATATATTATTTATGTAAAATTATGTGTGCCTTTATGGTGCTTACTTATATGATTGTATGAGCAGGTATTCATATTTTTGCATGTATTAATGGCAGTACGTCAAAAACAATTGGGATTTTGCAGACAATGACAGAATAAACAAAAGAAATTCGATTAGTGATGCTATTTATTTAAACAAGTAGTTCTCAATTTTTTTCACTGACTCTTTAAAAGGTCATGAAAATTCAGCAAAACATTTTGGAATTATACACGAAAAATTATAGAACTTTATTTAAATAGGTATAAAGAAAACTTTCTAATACAAAAGAAATGGCACTTCATCTTCATTTTCTTTAGTGAGTATATTATTTTTGATTAAAACAATGACTGGGATATAAATAATTTTTTTTGTTGGTTCTTTTAAATGAATTGATCGAAGTTTCAAGCATTTCTCAAGTACTTTCGAATCTAGGTCAAGGTAAAGAACTTTCTCGGTCACTATGGACCGGTATACCATCCGCAAATGACCTGATCTGGTCTTTATAATATATTCCATTTCTCTTTGATTTAGTTCAAAAGAAATCACTTTCTCTGATGTATCTTGTTTTACTTTCACTCAGAGCGCTAAAAAAAATCATACAGTTACAACTCTGACAGATTTTTTTTGGTAAAACAATGTAAATCTGGGCATATAAGTTTATTTTTATATCTATTTATATAACATTATAACATTATTTTTTCCGAAATTTTCCTATAGGTAGTGGTGTAAAAAACAGCCCGAAAATGCCACAAGTATACGTGGAAAAATACAACAGATTCGTGGATGCTGTTCTGAACAGAATCAACAGGGTCTTGGGTAAAGGATATGACCCTGTCCGAGTTAAGCTACTCAGCCAATCACAGCGCGAGAACATGAAAAACAAATTCGGCAAATCAGCTAGTGAAAACACAGAAATTCGTTCGGATGTCAGCAATAAAATGGCTGAATTGGATATAGCAAGGTAAATATTATTTAGCGGGCGCTTTTCAAAACTTTTAAATCGGAATTTTGGTACACTTTTTTTACAACCTGTATACAGGGTTGTTCACCACATACGACACGGAGTATTGTAGCTAAACGATTAGATTTTTACAAATTGTAAGTTTTGGGTTCGTTGAAGGACTATTAGAGCTACAATTTAAAAATATTTTTACAAGATACAGAGTGTCCCAAATAAATAAAAAATATCAAAATTGTATTTTTTTAAATGGAACACCCTGTATATTATTACATTTTTAGTTTCTACGATTAAAATGAAGGTAAATTTGATTAAGGTTTATTACACTTAAACCTTATCGTTTTTGAAATATTTTCAATTTTATGAAATTGCAGTAAAAATTTTAATGCTTTTCTCCAAGAGTATCAAAGTTTTTAGTACTACATATTTACTGAAGATTATTTATTGATAAGATATTGTGTTGCAATAATAAAAATTTTACTATCTTATACAGAGTGTTCAAAAATTTATATTAAATAATTACTAGCTTTAAACGGCAATAACGTGTTTAATTTAAATGGAACACCCTGTATATTTTACGTGAATCATATGCACAATTTAATTGTCTATCAAATTTTATTATACCATTTTTCACCTATGTCTTCAGCTTTTCGTAGAAAATGCATTTTCTTATAATTTAGACTTTATTTATCACTATACCCATGGAATATTGACATTTCAGATTTTTTTTAAGCAACATATATGCACAAAATGTACAGGTGGTAAATATTGCAAGCCCATTGGTATACCAAAAAAAAACTATTTAAATCTTTATAAAAGTGTATACCAATTAAATATACCACCATTATTTCCGACCAAAAATTTGTTAATTACATACTACTTTTAAATTGTTTTAATAAAGTATTCTAAATAAATGTGGATTTGGCTCAGAAATCAATATAATAATATATTATGAAGATAAACGCCTCTGTTTTTATAAATAAGAATTCATCAAAAAATGAAATAAAGTTTATAAGCCACACTGTCTAGTACACGCACAAAATTCAGTTTTTTAATATTTGGAGCAATTATTATTGATCAACGTAAACAGTCAATGTAATAGTAATGTAGTAGTTTGAATACTGGGATCATATTAATTGGTCCTCTTTAACAAAAAATATTTAAACAGTTTTTTTAATTTTTTTCATGAAATAAGCGACCTATATCGACAATATTAGTATCTGTACCCTTTGAAAATGTGTTATATCTTTAAAAATAATCTAAAATGTCAATATTCCATGGGTATAATGATAAATGAGGTTTAAATTATAAGAAAATGCATTTTCTACGAAATCTTGAAGAGATGGGTAAAAATGGTATAATACAATTTGATAGACAATTACATTGTGCATCTGATTCACGTAAAATATATAGGGTGTTCTATTCAAATTAAACAAGTTATTGCCGTTTAAAACCAGTAATTATTTAATATAAATTTTTGGACACTCTGTATAACGTAGTAAAATTTTTATTATTGCAACACAATATCTGATCAATAAAGAATCTTCAGTAAATATTTAGTATTAAAAACTTTGATACCCTTGGAGAAATGAAGCCTTAAAATTTTTACCGCAATTTCATAAAACTGAAAATATTTCAAAAACGGTAAGGTTTAAGTATGATGAACCTTAATCAAATTTACCTTTATTTTAATCGTAGAAACCAAAAATAGAATAATATACAGGGTGTTCCATTTAAAAAAATACAACTATAATATTTTTTACTTATTTGGGACACTCTGTATTTTGTATTTTTTTTTTTAAATTGTATCTCTAATAGTCGTTCAACGAATCCAAAACTTACAATTTGTAAAATTCTAATCGTTTAGCTACAATACTCCGTGTCGTATGTGGTGAACAACCCTGTAGAGTGTTTGATATTAAAATTTATAAAATTTTACAGAGAATTTAAATGTATAATAAAAAATTGGGGCACCCATTTAAAAAAAGAAAGTTGCTGTCAACTTCCGGTATTTCCGGAAGTGCCGCCATATTGAAAATATTTTTTATCGACAGATCTCGTTGTGAAACAATGATGTGCAAAAAATCTCCGATCTAGATATTGTGGTTCGCTAGAAACTTCTAATGCACGCTCAGCCTGGGACACCCTGTATATCATTGTACTCTTGCTTTTTAATATCCTTAAAACAAACAAAAAATATAAATATACATATTATATAGTATATTTATATATAAATACATTATAGGTCAGAACACAAAAAACTCCAACGTTCAAGACAAAATTCCGAAGAATCTGAGTTCGTTTTGATCTCAAAAGCTGGCGGTTCCACCGAGAGTACCTCTAATTCCAAAGGAGTCAAGGAAGTGAGAGCTACGCCATTTGTTAGGCAGAATAACAAGAAGAAAGGTTCATCGAGTTCGAATAAAAAAGGATCAAATAAGGTAAATCTTTAAATAGACACCCATTTGGTGCAACTACTTAATAACAAAATAACTATTCTTTTTTCAGAAAAAGACTTCAAACAAGACTAAGCAATCGCAATCAAAGCAAAAAGCCAGAGCAACCCTGTTTGGACTTAGTACGTTGAAGAGGGAAGGTGACGTGACCATCAACATGACACCGGATTACACAACCATAAAAACGAATTTTATGCTGGGACCACTCATTCTCAGGGTTGAAAGAGAAGTAAGTAAAGGGTAGAATTTTTTTTAGAATTTAGAATGAGTGGGAGGGGGGTTAATCACTTCGACCTTACAGATCCATTGTGTCCCCCTTTCTTGAATCATAACTCATCATACAGTCCCAGGGCTTTGACAAAAGCCAGTATCTGGGACGGTTTTATAGAGGGTAGTTCTCCATCTCCAATATCAGTCGTAC